CAGGAGCAGGAACAGCTTTCCACGAATTCAATGTAAGAATTTGGGCATTTTGTAAACGCAACACTACATCAAAAAACGCGATCATTCATTATCGCAACACTAAAAGTAAAAGTAAAACTGGAAATCGCGATGAAATAATGTCGCAACACTAACCCTAAAGCTAAATTCAATGAAAATTATTAAAAATTTATATTAAAAATTATTATTAAAAATACAAAACTGTACGAACGAAAAGCTACTTCAAATACTCTAACACTCTAAAATTAATTAAAAGTAACTCTATAATTTAATTCTAAACAATAGGAAGCAAGATAAATTTTATTATGTATAATTCTAAGACAACTTTAAAAAATTCACAATCGCGAAACCATAATTCGCAACTCTAATTTAAACCGTAATCAGTTTCTCGCAGCGCGGAACGATCTCTCGTAACACTAACAAGAAAACTCGCGATTTGCCCAAAACTATGATGAACGATGATGAAGAAGAAAAAAAATACAACTACAAATACTAAAAGAGCATAGTGACAAAGTAGTAACGAGAATGACTTCCCGTGCTCTGGAATCATTCAAATGATCCAGAGGATGAGAAGCCATTTGTTGCGACCCTCTTCGTAGCAGTTTGCCGGGCCTCTTCGGCTTCTAGCCTCTTCTTTCTTCGAGCGCAATGCCCGCTGAAACTTACATCTAGCTCGAGTCTTTCTAATAGCAAACCAAAAATAACTTACAAAGGTGAAATGAAACGATAAATCGCGAAAGCTGACTCTAATACACATGGATGACCATCGATCATAGTGATCGTTAGCCGTTCGCACGTGCGTGCTCGAGCAATACCTCTATAAACGTTCGTTTCGGGACCTACACGCGACCTATCCGCGACCGCGATCGCGATACTAAATTCGAAAAATCGAAGAGTAAAACCAGAAACAAGTGGCATGCTCCATTTGTACCAATTTCACTGTCAATTTTTTCAAATTAGATTTCCTGAAACAGGTTGGACACGCGAAAGGAGGACACGCGATTAGAGACTGTGCCAACCTGCCCGGCCCTACCTACTTATAATTAAACACATTCACACCAGAAAGTATGCTACCTATCCTAACAGTCGCCCTATATTTAAAAAATGGCAAAACAGACACACCAACACATTTACTCCACGGTTCTCACACATACTACTCGGCGCAGACCTACACTAGAGAGGACGTCCCGAGACGCCTCGACACCCGAGCTTAACACACAACTTTCACACGCTAATTTACGTACCATTTTTCTGAAATCGACTGACAATGGCTAGCGACCATTGCGTGAAACGTGATTAGAACACGTTTATATTTACAGTTATATGCGAAATATTAATAACTAAGAAAAGATGCATATAATTACTATAGAAATTACATGTACAAGTTGAATCATAATTATAATTGATAATATAGTTATAATAATAATAATATAATTATAGTTTATAGCGTAGTATTTATTACGTATTATGATAATATATTCATAATTCTTTAAATTAGTGCATAAATATTGTAAATATTTCAAATTATAATGAATGGTACAATAGAAACGACGCAATTCCACATCCTAACCACACACACATATGCGGAAAATACGTCGTGCACGATACGCTAATACATTGTCAGTCGCTGAGCAATTTTTTATAAAATTATAAACTATAGTCATCATGTCCAATGTCTTTCACCCACCCAAGTAACACCTGGGGACGTGAGTGAGATCCTGACATTGAACACGGAAGGGGTTAAACCTGAAAATCCTGACTAAAAAAATAATTACTTTATATCATTTGTATCTAGCGGACTATTGTATTATTTTATTTCAAACTTTAATGACTCTACTCTTTCAAACATTATTGAAATTACAAGAAAATAAAGACAATCAACAAGAATGGAATTTATTAAAAAAGATATTGTGAAATCTAATAACTGACTCAATCAAAATCAACAACTGACTCTAAATTAAATATTAATAGAAATAATCTCAGGCGACTTCTTCATCAAAGCACATTCGAAAATGCGAAGACAGTGTTCAAACTTGTTACTTTGATTTAAAAATCTGCCTGTCACGAAGTATCTTCTTGCACATAAAATTTCATACATTTTTCCGCGAAAAAAAAAATTCTAATCTATTATATTTCAAATTCTACTGAAATCCATAATTATGAAACTCAATAAATTTTTCAATCATTCAATATTATTATAAAGAGAAGATGAAATTGGAAAATATTAATTATTATAACAATTATTAATTATTAATTATTATAACAAATATATCAATATTAATAAATAATAACTGCATTTTTCATAGAAACGAAGTCGGAGGATATCCGTCTTCTCTACTACGAAATGCTCAAATGAAACCGTTTTAATAATAATTATTTATAAATATTTATAATTTATCTATTCGTATGGATATTTTTTTGCAAATATTTATATTAAATATATTTTGATTTTGTAAGTAATTATCATAAATGTATGTATTCTAATTGTTAAAATCGCGATGTGCAAGAAGCCCTATATCCTAATCTAATACATCAAAAACCTGAGAAAAATGTTACTACTCACGAGTATAAAAAATACCCGCGGTCACTATGCTCATCAAAAATTCTACGTATACAACCAGTCACCCGTGCCGATTCGGACCTTTCGTCCTACGACATGATTGAGTAACCGGAGGAACATAAATGCATGCAACTCACGTGACAGATATGAAGAACGTTATCGCATCGATGCTGCACTGGAGCAGGGGAAAGATTGTGAAGACCCTCATCAAGTAGATGATTCTTTAATTACTGAAAATTATATGTAATAATTATTTGGTTAAATCTTACCTTGAGCAAAAATGCATGTTTTATCTTAAAAATACAAAACACAAACACAAATTTAACAATTATTGATTTAACTTTTTACCTGAGAATTTCTGGATGATTTTTCTGAATAATACTTTCATCATTATAGATGAAGTGTGCTTCTTTCCGCTTCTTTCCGCCATTTTTAACCGCCACTTTCCGATTAAAAATCGATCATGAGAAATATCGATTTCGAGTTCGAGAATCGTAGAAGGTGTGTTAAGTATTTCACCGTTGGCGCTGTAATCATTAACTAATTTTAACCCAATGCGCGCGCATTTCGCACGAAATGTTAACTTGAAATAAAAAATAAAAAAACTTTGGTCTAAATCAAATACACAAAAATTCATGGGAAATTCTTAAAAAGAACAAAAATATTCATATACTAGATGAAAAATTGTCAATACTTTAAATTGTTATAATTTCGTGAAAAAAATAATTGCAGAACAGTTAATTTGATTTTGTTTTAAAGAATAAAGTCTCCACTTCAACAATCTTGAGTTTGTTTCATTCAAAGATATTTATTTTTACATCATGCAGGAAGTGTAAAAGTAAGAATACTTTACTTTCGAAAATTGTAAAAATTCAAACATCTCGCCGAAGGGAAGTTTTTCTACTACTGAACAATTTTTTTTCATGATCAGATCAATCATGTTCTGAAAATTGAAATCTCCCCTTTATAAATGGAAGAGATAGGATTTTTATAATTATTCCGTGATCTATTTGCAATCCAGTCTAAATACAAAAAGTAGAATTTTGATATCTAGATTGATTTACAGGTTATGTAATTTTTCGTTTGATATCGTTCTAAAACTAGTAATATTTGGAAATATTGACATTCATATATTAATAGGATAGAATAGGTAAAAAGTTCTCAAACCTCTGTTAAAGGATTGGAAATGAATATGGCTGATGGATGGAGACGAAGATACAGGTGGAGAGATATATTGAGTTGTTGATGAGAATACATTTCTGCAGCTCATCTATTTACTTTCTTTCTTCAAAGGTAATTACAATAAAGTAATACTATAGCACGAATCTAACTGATGTAAAAATAGCGCAACGTTTTGAATCACAATAATGAAATTTAAATGCTCACAAAAATTATGAACCTAAACTCCTCTATTCGAGTGAATTTTTTCAAATTCGCGATCTCTTTATAAGATTCCCAAAGCTAATCAAAATCGTTCGTCGCTGAATGGTGATGCCATACGGCTGAAAGCGACTGTGACCAATCAGAAGACAGCATGAGAGTCACGTGATTCGACATTTCCCAATTAATGCTTTCCTACTGCCATCTACAAGCAATATTCAAAAGTTTAGAGAATAAATATTTGAAAACGTATTCAATTTCTATATAGTGTAAATTGAATTGTAAAATACTTTATATGTAAACGTTGTTATAATTTTGTTATAATGTGTTTTTAAATGAGACAAAATTGAATTCAAGGTTATAGCAAATAAATGTAGTATCAAGTTCATAGTTCCTAACCTTCATGAAAATCCCGCGTTGATATTTTCAAAGTCACATCGTTTCTCGGTATGTAACAAAGAAAATTCGTAAAAAGCTTAAATTCGTAAATAAACTTTATAAATAAATGTTTAAAAAATTTTGTTTGAATATAATATATCATATACTATAATATAATTTATTATAATGTCATTATATCAATATTTCGCATGTAAAATAATATCATGCAACATGTATTCTGTTTTATATAGTGTAAACCCAACTTAATATTAACTCTATTTGACTCTATTCATGAGCAGAGTTTAATAACAAGACAAAGTTCAGACAGTTTGATATCTTTACAAATAAACGACCTACATAACTTCGTCGATCCAATTGTGCCTGATGTATGATTTATAAATAATCATGCTTGATCAAAACAGCGTTTATCAAAACAGTTATAGTTTAAAAGATTATTCCATAGCAAATATACTTATATTAACAGTAATGAAATAATTATATTTCAATTACTGTTAAACCTAATTTATTTCTTGGAGAAAATTAATATAAGTAAAAGGTAATTTATAATTATTAATTTATATAATTATTTTATATCTAAAAGTATTAGATTTTTTTGAGAAGTGATTGCCAGAAAAACTATTAAAATTAACATGATCTCTCAACTGGCTCATTAGCTCAGTTGGTTAGAGCGTCGTGCTAATAACGCGAAGGTCGCGGGTTCGTATCCCCCCATGAGCCAAGCTTTTTTTTTCTATATTTTTATATTTATATTTCATATAAAATGATATTATTGCTTCGTCTTTTTTATCATTTTTTTTAACAGAACTATTTAACTAACTGCATTATCAGTATTGAACATTACATGAATTTATTATCCACTTCATTAAGCAATGATCGTTATCAACCATATTAAAAGCACACTTAAAAGCGATTAAAACTATTATATCATCCTTGTGAGACTGATAAGATGACCGCAATTTTGATATCAGTATTTGTATCGAATCTATACGATTCGGAAAAGGTCAACAATATTGATGAAAAGCTCTCAAACGTTTGTCTAATTCCTATCTCGGACCATGAAACTAATTTAAAAAAAAATGTATTACGACGTTTACAATACAACAGTAAAATCGATAAGTGACTTGTTATAAATTTTCTAGAAAATTCATGCGACATAACATGCCGATCATTATTCGAGAATATGCTCTTGGAGGATGCTCTTTCTTTGTTATTTGTCGTCAAATAGAATATAGTTAGCTGCATTGCTAATTGATGCAAAAATTACAGCGTGTGCGACAAAAATAAATCTCCATGATGAGCTGTGGTAATTTCCAGTGGTGCAGGCTTGCATGATTTCAGCGACACGTAACCCTTTTCATTGAAGGGTGCCGACCGTAATGCGTCTGCTTTAAAACCGATGCATATATACATATATATCCGTGTGCAACTGAAGGAGCAAGTTATACAAGTACCGTTCCTGGAACTTATCGATCCGGTCGCAAGCTGAGCTTTTCTTTGGTCAAATCTGACGTCGCAGACGACAGCTGATAGGTAGAATTCAACTGTGGACGATTCCTATTGGTCGACGAGCCGGTATAAACGAGGCTTTCACGGTAACCTGTTCCAGTTGTGTTGTTATCCACTCACTGTACACTTGGTAAGTACATTCTGTTCGAAATACCATTGTTTTCTATTATTCAAACGATATTTATTTTTTCAGGCAATAATTATATTTTTCGGTTTACATTAGCAAATTTTTCCAATTTCCGGCTATTTCACTATAATTTTCTTTTTTTTTTGAGGAAGCTTTATTTTATTACTAAAATGTAGTGAAATGGCAAAATTGGAAAAAGTCGCTAAACTGCATTTGCCTATTTTTCTCAAATATTTCTGAGAATTTTCGTGAATCTTTTGAAATTATCAAATGTTCGTATATCAGGTGATATAATCTATTGTCATTCTAATTTCATCATAAATATTTAATACTTATATTCAATTTTAACGCTATTCTCTTCATGTTAGCATTATGCTGATACAGTTCAAATTATTCGCGTCAGTAAGATAATTACGTATGATAACGTACTGAAAGGTTTTGTCATTTAAATATTTTATAGAGTAATCACGAGATCGATATTCGCTTTGACGCAAATTCGTCGAAAACGGTTACTTTTGTTAAACCAATTGCAGCCATTGCTACATAATCCTTACGTGTAAATTTGAAGAATAATTTGAGGAATAATAAATTTGAGCATTTTGAATTTTGTACGTTCGTTTCGATGTTAACAACGATGGTGGAATAAAAATTTGAGTAAAATTGACAAAACGGACATGGCCGATTCATCTTTCTGGAACTTGTAACTGCAATGCATATGCGCGAATAGTGAAAGGTCGGCAACATCGATTTGTCAAATCGCGACCACCTGGTACGAATTAATGGATTTCTACGAAAACTCGCTATTCAAAAATAGCTCGCAAAACTATACAATCATTAGAACGTGAAAATGTATAACAGCTAATTAC